GAAAGCGACAGGTGGCCATTTAGACAGCACTCGGTGAACAACGCCGGCGGGTGCACGCAGAGGCGAAACTATTTCTAAGTACCCTTGAGTAGGAGCTGGATCGTCGTATAACGCCAAGTACTGTACCCGAAATAAAGTCACATGGCACGGTTGTTGACTCGTGGTTTAGGATCAGTCAGCATTATACCGGCTATATTTCGCCCTGACCAACAGTATTAATGACAATATCAAAGATGACAGGTGGACAACAATGCCACGTCAACCATTAAAGGCTCACCGAAAGCAAGTTAACGATTATACCCAGAAAACAGACGCGAAACGATTTTGGTATCGCTTCTGTTTCGTTTAATCAGGCCATTTTAAAAACAACAACTTACATTTATCTGCAATAGAACTGAACTATCAGAGAGCTATGAAAGCTAATGCAAAATAGTTCCATGTCGTACGAGCTAGGATGAAATTATAGACGTACAAAAACGAGGTATGGGCACCCCCCCCCCTCCAACCCGCAAAGTACTTCTAATAGCAACGACAACGACGCAGCAACAGCCATGTATTTATCGACAAATATTCGGCTATTCACTACGTCTTCTGTCACAAGGAAGTGGTATAGACAGATAGCACGAGGTAAAACAACGGCAGAACAGGCCCCATTTTTTCTCTCTTATTTCATAAATGATAAATGAAATGCAAAGGCTAGGAAAACTAGCACTTGTACGCAACACCGTCTGCAAAAATCTATGTTCATGAAGTGATAAAGATATAGAAGTTACAACAAAAAGGGTGGCCTCTAGTAACAAATTAATCGGATGAATTAGACGACAAATGGATAAGAGGCTATAAAAGTCGTCCTACTGACATCAGCTTTCAAATTCCTAAATGTACACGGGAGGTTCAACCACAGTGACGTCATGTCACTCAAATGTACCAAGGAAAGTCTTCAAGCTGCCGGCAGTCTGTTGAGAGTCCAGCTATGCTTTGAGAACCTGGGTACCCCGGGGGAGCGTGGCGCATGGCGGAGACCCGTTAGCTCCAATTAGTCAGGCGTAGGGACGGCAGCGCCGCTAAATTCTGCCCGAGTCAGGCGGAATGTCAAGGTCTGTGGTCGTCCCGAGCCCGCCCTATGCTGCCGGACAACAGGTGCTCAGAACTCGGAACAGCTGCTGTGAGGTGGTGTGGACGGTTCAGATGCGCTGTGTGTGTGTGTGTTTGTATGTGTGCTTGTGTGTGTATGTGTCTGCACGTGTGTGAGTGTGTCTGTGTGTGTCCCTCTCTCTGTGCGCGCGCGTGTGTATGTGTGTATGTGTATGTGTGTGTGTGTGTGTGTGTGTGTGTGAGTAAGTG